ATTGAGAGTTCCTGGCCACTGTTAACTATTCAATTAGCTCACAGGAATGGTCTTTATTCAGTCTAGACTTGTATCCTTCTAGCATTGACACTGGCATTCTCTACACAGGTCAAAACTACATTCAATTTTATTCTATGTTAAAATGAACTGTTAGGAGCCATGAGCAGGTTACACTATTTAACAGACTTAACCACACATTAACATATCATAGAATTTCACTCCTTGTAGACCTACAATATCACCTCGGTCATTTTGTAGAATGCTAGCTTCCACTTTCTTTTTCAAATCCCATTCTAGTCAAGTTACGTCAAAAATATATCAAATTTAATACTAGGTGTGAATGTAGTTAGTACTGTTATTTCATAGCTCTTTTTTTCTGGATTTGACCTTGAACTGGTGTGTCTTCTGTGTGGAGTTTCAGTGTTCTCCCAAGCCCTTGTTTCCTCCCATCAGCCCCAGTTGTGGGTGCCCCCAGTGACTGACAGGTCTTCCCCCCCAGTTGTAGCTCTGCCTGGAACCCTGTTCTTCCAGGAATAAGTGGCTTTCTGATACTAGATCCAGGGATAGAAAAGGGAAACCCAGTACGTTAAAGTCGATTCACTGAAACAGCTCCCACTATTGAGCGTGAAAGAGTGGCTGAGAAGAGCTTAAATGTTTGTTGCTAAATTTTGTGACTACATTTTGTGACTCAGATGCAGCTTTTCAATACTTATGCTCAAAATCCTACAAGCACGAAAAAGACACAAAAGTGAATTTACTGATAATGCACATTTTTCCTATTAATACATTAGTTTACACATGTATATGTATGTACAAATTAGGCTGGTGGGCTGCATGGTGTTGAGTTTATCCCAAAAAAAAGAAAAAAAACATTAGTCTCATTCACATAATGAATGGCTCACGCTAGTCTGAGTTTGGTTAAATGGTAAGGCAGCATATTCTCTGAAAAATAAAAGCAGTTTTTTTTCTTGAGCTCCAGGACAAAGGAACTGTGCTCCCGTTTGGCCCGTGAATGTTTCAGCAGTGCACAATCATTGTTAGTTTGTTGATTTTGTTAAAAACAAGGGATCGTACAAAGTCCACAGCATTCCACTTGTGAAGTCACAATTTCATAAAAAAATAATGAGTTATACTTAGGAGCTGAAAAACATGGCCTAAGAATTTCTATACAGGAATTCATGACAGGCAAGTCATTTTCCCTCATTCCCTCCCATGGAGCGCAGATTCACCATTCTAACTTATTGCAGACGTCCTATAGTTATATAACACCTATCACCCCAGAGGACATCAGCCATCATTGCCTTTCCTGTTGACAGACTCTATCGGCATGAGCCAAGGTCAAAGGTCAAAACACAGTCGGCAGGTCCTCCTCCTTCTCCATGCTGCTCAGCTTGTCGCGCTGCCACCGGAACTTGTACCCGCGGCTCAATAGCTCGCTGGTGCTGACCGAGGAGCGCGTGGTGCTGCGGCGGTGTTGGAAGTCTGTGTCCTCCATCAGCACGCTCTCCATCACTGCGCTCAGCGACTGCCGGATCTTGGCCAAGAAGTCAGGACAGCTGAACACGTACAGGAAGGGGTTGACGACGCTGTTGATGAAGGCCAGGCTGCTGACCAGCGGCAGAGCCAGGGAGACCGAGTGATGGAGACTGGGGTAATAATGAGTGGCCGCCTCCAGCAAGCTGAAGATGTGATAAGGAATCCAGCAGAGGATGAAAGTGATGATGACGGCCACCACCAGGCGGAAGAACCGATAGGTACGCTTCCGGCCGCGTCTCGTGATGCTGGAGCTCACGGCCATGTAGCTGCCAATGATCACAAGCAGTGGAATGAAGAACGACAACAGGAACTTGCTGATGGCCAAGACATCCTGCCTCATCCCACAGAGGGTGTCCACCTCTTGCTCGGGGGACCTGTATTGTGCATAGTTATAATAGCACATGATCCTCCCATCGTTTCTCTCGATGGTGTCCCGAAAGACATAATAAGGGATCGTGTTGATAACGGCCAGGATCCAGATCCCGATGCACACCTGCGTGGCCAGACGGACATCTCGGTGGTTCTGGGACCACACAGGGTATATGACCACCAGGCAGCGGTCCAGGCTGATCACGCTAAGCAGGAAGCCACTCACAAACATGTTGAGGAAAAACATGGAGGAGTGGATCTTGCAGAAGGTGGTCCCCAGGGTCCAGGTTCCACCTCTTGCCAGGAAGTGAGTGAAGAATGGCAGAGAGATAGTGGCCAGGAGGTCGGAGGCTGCTAGGTTAATGATCCAGACACTGATCACTGTCCGACGCACCCGGAATCCAATCACCCACAGGATCAGGAGGTTCTCCAGGATCCCAAAAATGGACACAATGCCATGCAAGCAGACGGCTGCATAGCTGAAGGGCCTGTCCGAACTGTTGGAATGCTTGGAGGTGTTTATCATATCCCTAAGGAGAGGGCAGTACACAGCATTCTCTGCCATTTCACTTTGGATCCTGGGAGCAGCTTCTTTTGGTGTCCGTTTGTTCCTCGAAACAAAAAAACAACAAGTATTTAGAAGAAACAAAGAACAGACGGAGCTGTCAGTTCCACAGAAGAACAAGGATTTCATTCCACACTGAAGGTGTATAGAAGCAAAAGAGGGAGAGAGGTGAGACATGGAAAAGGTGGGACAGGCAGGGGGTGGATGTAAAGGGCTGTGAGACAATTATCTGAATTAATAGCACTAAATACTCCGTCAGTCTTCTTTCAATTTCCCCAAGGTAAATGGTAGAACATGTTCTCCAAGAAATTCCATTGACATTACATGTATTACTTTGGCTAATGTATTTATCCACAGACTTACAATTGATCCAGTCAAGATGCAAAGGGTGTCTATAAAGACAGCACAGAACAACAATAAAACCACAAGAAACACTATGTGCAGTGTCAGCTAAGGACTCAGATAGACAGTATGAGAGGGGTTATCACAGCCTTTAGGGAAATACAAACAGATTGTTAGATGAGAAAGAGGCCATCTGGGGTGTCACAAAGTTTCTAGAGCACCATGTATGTGTGTGCTGTAGGATATGCTTTTACAGGTTATACAGCAGCTCTGGCCTATACTGCAACTGTGGACAAGAATGTTGTGGAGATCACATGGTCAGCAGTATGAGACGTTGGTGGCTGTGGACAGTTAAGGGGACTGTGGAGAAAAAGGTTCAGTAGATCAGGTGGTCAGCAGTGTGAGATGGTGGTGGTTGTAGATCAGATGGTCAGCAGTGTGAGATGATGGTGGTTGTACTGTAGATCAGGTGGCTAGCAGTGTGAGATGATCAATGGGGCAAGATTCAATGGGCCTGAACAATTGGTCCGGTTTCATAAAATAGAAAAGGGCTGTTAATTTGGCAATGGACAGGGGGTTAGGATAGATTACGTTTGTGGAAATTAGCCAGGACCCCTACTCCCTAGCCCTACCAACTATATGGATAACAAAAAATCAGGAAAGCCCGGAGAAACGTAAGGTGTTTCCAGTGCAAAGTTCATTCAAAAAAGCAAAAAAAATATTCTTAAGCTCAACATTTTGTAGTTATAAAATCAAGCAGCAATATTATCTAATCCAAAACTGCAGATATTTTATCTTTTTTTATTCAAATTTTTTTTTAAATAAAAAGTTTCACTAAAAAATAAATCAGGCAACAATGAATCTCATATGAGCTTTGTGTTCAAAGTCCAGATAAGGCTAATGATGTTTGTTTAAAACATAGCCATCCTTGTTCTGTAAGCAACAGGCTTTTGTGGTCTTATTTCACAAATCATCTCAAGATGAGGTTTAAATTAAATACCACATGATCAAATCAAAAAAGCACTTAGAAAAGATTTGTTTTTGGAGCACTTATTAGAAGTACAACAATGGAAAGAACTAAGATTAGAGGAGATGTAGTCATGTGAGAAATATACAGAAATCTAACCAATAAATATGGCTTATTCCCACGTTTCTTCACAGAAACAGGTCTTCACAGGTTTTACTGATGCAAATCAACATTTACATCTATGAATAAAGTTTAAAATGCTAAAATAAACCCAAATAATACTCAACAGCTTCAATCAGTCACATCATATGTTAATGTTATTGTTACACACATTATACATACTGTAGTAAAACAAATTCTTTAAACATACTACAGAATTCTACTGATAGGAAAATGTGTCAGAATTCTTTTTGGAAAATATCTAAGCAAAGCTTCCAGCAAAGATGGACATGTACTGTATTTCCAATCCAAGAAATAGGACTGGGAAAATCTAACATATAGAATGACTTGAAATAACCCAATCTATTCCCACCCAGAAAGCATTGGCTTTTGTAATATACAAGCAGAATTTTGAGTTTTTTGTGGATTTTGTGTATTTGTGCTTAACAAAAAACAACTCGTTTATACGAGAAAATAATTATAAGCACAGCAGTTGTGTACTATATAAATATTGTAAATTCCATGGCACTGTATAATATATGCAATAACATTGTCCTATGCAAAGAAGCATTGACTTTAACAACCGGGGTAAAGTTAGCTTGAAGTTCGAAAACGATTTTGGCACGCCTGTACCGTTTACACGAAACCTCTTGTGGGTGCTGTGGTTTAAATGCGATTGGTTTGTGAACAGAATACCCCTATCCCAGTGCATTGTGCCACATTAAATAAAAGCAGAGAAAAAGAGATTCAGAACGCAAAGCTGTGTCAGTGTTCCGTGTAAAAAATCGGTTTGAACATCATGGGAGCTGTTTTTAATAAGCTGCTGAGTAAAGAATATTTTAATCTTCTTGCTGTCAGTAGTATTGTGAATATAGTTGATGCTTACCTGAATGAAAACAGGATGTAAAGGAAGGGTTTCAGAAATCAAACAAAGCTTTATTCCCATGCTTACAGTCTGAGTAATTGGAGACTGTGCTATTCTGCTGCCTACGGTCATATACGGGTTTTTCGCACGAAGCCGTATTGAACAGTATTTCAATGTGAACTTGTGTACACAGCGGTCCCCCGGGTTCCAGTTAGTGCGAAATTACGCATCGATGAAAAAAGATAAATAGCTCACTGATAGTTTGATGTAGAGGCTGTGGAAATATCCACAAGTCGTGGTCTTTAAAATGCATTTGGTTTGAAGGCGTTCTGTGCTTCCATTGCGAAGATATGGACAAAAGAATATTCGTGCTTGGTCCAAAAAATGTCATAAAAATGAAAAAGGCTGAGAAAGGCTGAGAAAGCATTCACAATGTATTTTATACACAAAGCAAGTGTTCTCGCAACTCTAAGAGGTTTCGTGTAAACGCTACAGGCGTGCCAAAATCGTTTTCGAACTTTACCCCGGTGCAAAAACCCATGTACAGTATATGTTTGTGCAGTTTCACGTGTACTGTCTCTTGTATACAGGAAGTACAGCACAGTGCCGGTGAGTATTACTGGGTCAAACGCGTGTATTTGTCGCCGTTTCTCTGACGAGTAGCAATTACACGGCTTTCCAAACGTATGCTATTGCATGAAACCTATGAAACAGCAGAAACGTGTACTGTACCTGGGTTTTTGTGGAATCCTTAAACATTGAATGGGATACATTTACGATGATTTGACACTCAGATATAATACCTACTGTTGGCTTACTGTTACTGTTATTGTTGGTCAGTCGTTAAATCCTAAAAAGATTTTAGACTACAGTATGGTGACAAGAAATGCATTTGAATTTGGAATTTCACAGGAAAGTGCAGGAAAAGTGTATTTCGAAGGGAGAAGAAGCAGTATTTGTGTGTCCGGCTGCAAAGAAGTCAATGTAAAGAGATGGGGTAATGCAGAACAAAAAGTAGAATTCCAGGACAGCACACAACCCGTTATACAGTTTGTACATTGTTGGCTTGCCGTTGTTACGATCCCTGCCTCCCGGACACGGAGGAGGCAGAAGTAGGCGTAGCCCCTATCCATCAGTTCACCTATCAGTTTTCCCATTCACCACCACACCCCCGTCTCATCCTACTTAAACACCTGTCCTTACCTACCTCGTTGCTCAGTATTGGTTTTCCTTTCGAGCTTCCTGGTTGCGCTACTTCTACTCTGTGTTCGTCTTGGCTTTCGGTTTGAGGTTTTTCCCTTTGGACTTCGGCTTTTCGGATCTCGGCTTGGATTGGTTACTTTCGCTCTGTTTCGGATCACTGGCTACCCCTGGATTATCGGATTGCTCTACTGACTACGACTTCGGATCACGCTTCGGCTTCGGTACTCGTTCCCTTTCGGATATCTGGCTTCCCCTGGACTCTCGGCTCGTTCCTACGATTACGGCTTGCTTTTGGATTACGGCTTGGCTTTGTTCGCTCCTGCAAGTGGGTTCACTCACTGGTTCGGTCCCTCTTACCGAACCCGTAACAGAATACTGAGCCCTTTAACATGGACCCAGCGGAGCAAGAGGAGATTCGCTCGGCTCTGGATCAGCACGGACAAGCCTTACTCCAGCTCCAGGCTCTGTCCAACAGATCTCTGCGCACCTGTCTGCAATGCCGCCCATCGGCAATCGAGGAAGCAATGCTGGAGCTGCCGCTTCGGCTCCGCCCCCGCCAGCTCCTACACCTGCCCCTCGACCTCTTCCACTAACTCCACCTGACAGGTTTGACGGCAACCCTACGAAATGTCGGGGCTTCTTAGCACAGTGTGCGCTGGTTTTCAGGCTCCATCCGGAAACTTTTTTTTTCTCCTCAGGACAAGATCGCCTTCATAGTTTCACTGCTAACCGGCCGCGCTTTGGAATGGGCTACTGCTCTGCCTGATCGCGGGGCTCCTGAAATTCAGGATTATGATCTTTTTTTTTTTTTTTTTTAGGAAAATTTAAGGGGGTTTTTTGTCGTCCCCTAGTTGGCCAAGACTCTGCCTTCCGCCTCTCCTCCATCCACCAAGGCCGCCGGTCTGTACATGATTATGCTATAGATTTTCGAGTAGCAGCAGCAGAGACTCACTGGGACGATGAGGTCCTTGTTTTTCTTTTCCGTCAAGGACTCAGTGAAGAAATTAAGGACCATCTGGTAAATATACCGCAATTGGGCAATACCTTGGAGGAAGTTATTTCACAGGTACTGCAATTAGAACTCAGAATTCGTCATAGGAGTGCTGAGAGATCTCAGTCCCCTATACTAGAGGCTCCTCGGCTATCACCTTTCAGATCTGCCGACTCTGAACAACCTATGGAAATAGCCCGCACCCGGTTAACCCCTGATGAACGAGAGAGGCGCCAACGAGAGGGTCGCTGCCTGTACTGTGGGGAAATTTGGACACTTTAAAGCGGCCTGCCTGCCCTGCTGCATACTCATCCTTGAGGCGCCGCCCACCTTCTCAGAATCCTAAGGTGAGTGAGAATACTCAATTCCCTCAGCTTTCCTCAGGATTTTTTATTTGTTCTACACTATTCTGGGGTAATGAAAGGAGACCTCTTCTTACTTTTAAAGACTCAGGGGTGGCAGGAAACTTTATAGACGCCTCCGTCGCTCGAGCTTGGAAACTACCCTTGACCCTGGTGA